AAACTAAACTAACATTATTTATACTGGATAGCTCTACAGTATCAGTTCCAAACTGTTCTTCCTAGAGGTTCAGTAAAGATCATCTCTTATTGATCCAGTGTTACTACAGGAGGAAACCAAACTAAACTAACATTATTTATACTGGATAGCTCTACAGTATCAGTTCCAAACTGTTCTTCCTAGAGGTTCAGTAAAGATCATCTCTTATTGATCCAGTGTTACTACAGGAGGAAACCAAACTAAACTAACATTATTTATACTGGATAGCTCTACAGTATCAGTTCCAAACTGTTCTTCCTAGAGGTTCAGTAAAGATCATCTCTTATTGATCCAGTGTTACTACAGGAGGAAACCAAACTAAACTAACATTATTTATACTGGATAGCTCTACAGTATCAGTTCCAAACTGTTCTTCCTAGAGGTTCAGTAAAGATCATCTCTTATTGATCCAGTGTTACTACAGGAGGAAACCAAACTAAACTAACATTATTTATACTGGATAGCTCTACAGTATCAGTTCCAAACTGTTCTTCCTAGAGGTTCAGTAAAGATCATCTCTTATTGATCCAGTGTTACTACAGGAGGAAACCAAACTAAACTAACATTATTTATACTGGATAGCTCTACAGTATCAGTTCCAAACTGTTCTTCCTAGAGGTTCAGTAAAGATCATCTCTTATTGATCCAGTGTTACTACAGGAGGAAACCAAACTAAACTAACATTATTTATACTGGATAGCTCTACAGTATCAGTTCCAAACTGTTCTTCCTAGAGGTTCAGTAAAGATCATCTCTTATTGATCCAGTGTTACTACAGGAGGAAACCTAAACTAAACTAACTTTATTTATACTGGATAACTCTATCAGTTCTAAATTGTTCTTCCTAGAGGTCCAGTAAAGATCATCTCTTATTGATCCAGTGTTACTACAGGAGGAAACCTAAACTGAACTAACTTTATTTTAATATACCGGGTAACTCTATCAGTTCTAAACTGTTCTTCCTAGTTAGAGGTGGAGTAGGGGATAATCTCAATGCTGGGTAGTCGTGTGTTTTTCTTAACATTGTGTTCAGAAGCTCCAGCTTACTTGATTGATCTGATGCATGATAAGAATGCAGAAATAAGAAAAGTTTGCGATCAAACATTGGACATTATTATGGTATGATATAATAGTCGTAACGTATCAGTTCTGAACTGTTCTCCCTAGAGGTCCAGTAAGGCTCTCGTCACTTACTAGTCCAGTGTTGTTACATGCCCATTTCCACTTTGGAAAATTTTCCGCAGAAAGAAAATTTTGTAAAATGTGATCGGTCGACACAAATTTTCGGTCGGAAAAACATTTTGAAGTTGAAAATTTTCAACTTTAAACAATGATATTTTTGGAAAATTTTCCGTCCGTGGAAATTTTTCTTGAGTGGAAATGGGCTTTACAGGAAACCGGAGTTACTGAGGGAACCTGCGATGTTCGTGAAAACACTATTGTTGCACGTGACAGGTGTCCGGTTTTATTTATTTACTCAATTTAGTTATCCATTTTTGAAATTACAAAAATAGTATAATAAGGACAGATTATACAGAACTAATAGTTCCTTACAAGATAAACTGCCTTGCATGCATGAATAAATAATCTATATGATAAAAATAATATTCAACACTAATTGCCTGTTCTATTATACCTATCTAGCTATTATGAATTTACAAAAAATCATCTATATTATCGTAAACATTTTTTGTGTATTGATGTTTTTCCTGAAAATGTCATAACTATCAGTTCTACGAATAGACAGAGGCACATTGTTCCACAAATCAACTATACGATTAAAATACGAAAACTTATATATATTAGTTCTAAATCTTTTCTTATCTAATTCTAGTTCGGAATCTCGTAAGGAGTAGTGAAAACTAACTCTTGAAATTTACATACTTAAAAATATCGAAATCTACTTTTTTAATCATGCACTTAAAATATAAAGCATAGATTTTCACTTCAATAGCCAATTGTGACCACGTTTTTCTTTAGGAATTTGATGAAGAATGGGCGAGGAAAATTCAAATTGAGAAATTCCGTTGGCACAACTCTCAATGGCTTGAGATGGTGGAAGGACATCAGGACGAGAATGATGACGATGAGTTGATGATGTACGGAGACGAACCTACTTTTATTGATAATGGTGATATACTTGATCGTCCAGATTTATTCTACGGTCAGCACGTTTATGGCGATATTGGCAGCCGAGAGGGAGCTAGCACACCTGAGTTGATGATGAGAGGACCTGGATCCGAGTATGACGTATATGATGATGACGTCACCGGAAGTGAGCGCGGTTACATGGGTGGGTACCCAAGTCCCGTGGAAGCGTACTCGGACGGCGGGATGATTAACGGCGAGGACTGGGACCAAGTGTTGGATAATCGACCTGGTAGTCGTTATGGTCAGCGGCCTGCCAGTCGTCATGGTTACGATGGTGGTGGCGTGGAGTACGATGATAGGCCGGTGTCAAGGCACGGGTATGGTCAGGAATATGGTTATAGATAGACCTCTTGGTTGGCCTGGATCCCAACTTCAGATAAGTGTGTGATGTATAAAAAAGCACTGTAATAATATTTCACTTTAGGGAGACACAGCCCTGTTCCAAGGGCCTTAATAAGATTTCCAGGGCCTTAATTGGCTCGAAACCTTGTTTGCAGGGCCTCAACTTGCTGGCAACCTCAAGAACTGCAAATTGAGCAGTTCACTGAGTGATCTATGTACATAACAGAGCCAGAGGGTTTTTTAACATGTAAAATACATACAATGTACATGCGTCTGTATATATTGATAATTTGATATATATATATATGATCGAATATAAAAGTATCGAATATAAAAAGTTTTACATCTCATGTTGATGGAAAATTCTGAAATTTATATAAAATGTACATTCGAAAATTCCGCGTAAATTTACAAAATCCTTCAACAATCCATAGTTCAATCGAGTGAGACGCCCAAAGAATCATTATATCAGGGTGTCCACGGACCTTGAAAATCATGGAAAGTCCTTGAATTCGAAAAAAATTCCAGGACTGGAAAGTCCTTGAAAATCAGTAGAAGTCCTTGAAACGGTCCTGGAATTAATTTCCTTAACCTCCAGCTGTGCCAACAGTAGTGATTTTGATTAAAATTACTGAATAAAGTGAATTATTTGCTGGGGCAAATCCTGTGCTATTTTCAAAGATTTTTCCTAGGTCCTTGAATTTACTGAAAATGGGCTTTGAAAGTCTTGGAAAAGTCCTTGAATTTCACCTTCACCAAAGGGTGGACACCCTGTTATATTTGCTACAATAACCCTTTCATCTTGGTCACTTTCGAACTACTAACATTTGTGGCTATATGTTCCGCGTCTGTGATTGATATCTTATAAAATATCTAAATAATTCATGAGGAAAATACAAACGAAATCACTGCTGTGTCCGTGATTTTATATGTGATAAAAAATCATGTTCATTTACAAAAACTTTAGCTTTGATTTTCTTTATTTTTAAAATTACTTCGCCAATGAAATGATCAGATAGGTTGTTTTTTGGACTATTTAAACATGAGCAGCAATGTTTTATCAGATAGAAAGATACGAGGCGAAGTCGAGTATCTTTAGATCTGATAAAACACGCACTGCGAATGTTCTAAATTGCTTCAAAAACGATCGATCTAGTAAGTTCATTGGCGAAGTAATTTTCAAAAAATACGTTGTGTAAGTCGAGAAAATCAAAATCAAAGTTAAAGTTTATGTAAATCAAAGTAAAATCTCTATCACATATAAAGATACGACACGCTTATGATTTTTCTTTGTGTTTTCCTCATGAATTATTAATGAGTTTTTGAAAAGCCATTTAAAACACTCGTAGTCCGTGCTTATCAAATATAAAACACTCGAGCTACGCTCTCGTGTTTTATATCTGATAAAACACTCATGCTCGTGTTTTAAATAGTACTTAACTGACAGCTGTATGACGAAGGATGAAACGGTAATTTGGAACTGTCATCTTGTAAGACATCTTAATTATGGCTGACAATTGACTTGAATTCTAGTTGACAACAGTTACCCAAACACCCTCAATAGAGCCTTTGGCGTGAAGCCAATTTTGTGTCCTACATATCAATATTATTCGTTCCCATGGACTCGCTAAGGGGTTGTGAAATATTGTGCATATTTCGCGTTGGTCTGCGAAAATTTAATGTGCGTCCATCTGCGTTTGTTGTTTACGAACGCAATCAACAATGTGGACACCCCGACGCGTAAACGACATTCTGCGCATACGTGCGTATAAACGGTAAAACATGAATTAATTGCGGCATATATTGAAATAGATGTTGAAAAATATGATAATATAAAGAGAAGAAAAAAAAGTACGGGTCATGATCTTCTTGATTGCCCGTACTATTCTTGTTCCTTTAAACGCACAAACAAACGAAGAAATGTTTCAGGGAACTGACTCTTTGTTTAAAACTGAGCCAGTCCTCAAACATTTCTTACAAAACGTAGAATTTATCTATGCAAAATTCCTACTGTGGTCACCGAAACTTTGATGGGGTAAACCAACCTTAAACCCAGTTTTCATCAGTGCAAATTATCTTTTTAATATATTTTCACTATATTTGCTTATTTATTTGGTAAAATTCATCACAAATTAAATAAGACTAAACGGGATTAAAAAATGCACTCAAACGCTATAGTAGCGTTTTCAAATTCCATGTTAACTTTGGAAGCAACATTTCGGCTATATACACCCTGGTGCGCTGATCACATTTTCTGCATAGATGTGTACACGGGTGTCTCATTTATATCCACAATACATGCAGAGCTTAACACTGTAGTATTTCAATGCATATATAGTATTGCACATTTATGTAGTGAAAACACGGGATTGTCACACTGTATAGTGGGTGTTGCCTTGTAGACAGTGTTAAACGGTCTTCGCTGTCTGTTTGAGCTTTGACTTTTGCTATACAATGTCAACGTGGTCTTTCAAGAGCTGAGGTGTCACAAATTTGCTCGTTATATACAGGCAGTATAGAGGTATAGCAAATATAACGATTGTCTATTTCTTGCTTTCGCTATAATTGCGTCGATTAAGCTCTCGTGTTTCGTATCGTTGCATTAATGTGGTGATGCATTGATCGGTACGAAAGCCTAGCTGATACGTGAAGTTCCGCAGAAGTTTCAGACTTGCTCAGGGTGACTGCAATATCAATAACTGTCAAATTTCAAGCTACCTTGGGGAAGAGAGCGACACTGCAACGCTGACGGTGGAGAACGAACTATAAACAGTGCATTGCTGCTATATAAAATTATATGATATTAAACTAAGAGATACGTACAGTAGTTTAGTACCTCACCAGTAATACTACAGATTTGACTAACTGGTTACGAAAGCCGTACACATTTGAACTTGCGAGTATAATACCATAAATAGCCGGTGTATGTAATTACTACAGACTCAAACTAACTAAAACCAGAATTACCGTGTATCATCAGTCGTTCCACAGATTAAAACCTGCTTAGAAAGAACTACAGTACCTCGCACAGCGCAAGGCATTCCATAGATTGAAACTGGCGGTGAAAAGAGAAGTACATTTCAGCACCGACAACAATATGTCGACCGTCCCTAACAGCCCTCGAAGTCGTGTGGTGGGACGCGATCTAACTTGCTACCTATGTCACCAGCACTACAAAAACCCCAAACTCCTGCCCTGTCTGCATACGTTTTGCCAAGAATGCCTGGAGAAAGCCCACGAGAAACAGAACGAGGCCTTCCTGACGTGCCCGTCCTGCCGATCGAGGGTCAACTTGAGCGCAAACGGTGGAATTGGAAGTTTAAAATCGAACTTCATGGTGAAGAATATGTTGGATCTACTCGCGGTGAACCTTAAGGAGGTGATCAATTGCGCGAATTGCAAGGATCAGAATCGCGTCACGGTGCGCTGTGCGGAATGCGCGGAGTTTTTATGCCAACCGTGCGCGGATGGGCACAAGCGCGTGCGATTCACTCGAAACCACAGTCTAATGACGCTTACGGAATGCGAAAATCAAGGAAAAATCCACAGCACAGCGTATTGCCCGAAACATGAAGACGGGATCTTGAAATTGTTTTGCGAGACTTGTCAGATTCCCATGTGTCGGGATTGCACGATCGTTGAACACCCGATCACGGTGCACGAATATCGCTACGTTGAAGAAGCGTTCGAAACGTGTAAGGACGCTCTGAGCACGCTCTCGAATGAAGTAGGCACGCAGATACCAAATATCGTTGAAGCCGTTGGCCAAGTGAATGATATATCACAGCAGTTGGAAATTAACAAGGGTTCTGTTGCAAGAGATATTCACATTTATATTGAGCAGTATGTATCGGCGTTGCGACAGAGGGAGAAAGAGCTTCTCGGAGAGATGGATCGAATTTATAACAAAAAACGACAAGTATTGTCTCTTCAGAAAGAGAAGTTGGAACAGGATTTGAGCAAGCTGAAGATTGCCACTGAATTCACTAATAAGGTAAGCTTGTCCAGATCATGTATACAGTGCAGTGTTGAGCGGGCGATGTAATTATATAGGACAGTTCTGAGTCTGTCGGTTCTAATCTTAAGCTTTATAGTCTTTTCTTCCCAGAGGTCCAGTAAGGGTAACCCCTTATTGATCCAGTGTTACTGCAGGAGGAAACCTAAACTAAACTAACTTTGTTTATGCTGAATAACTCTATCAGTTCTAAACTGTTCTTCCTAGAGGTCCAGTAAGGATCATCTCTTATTGATCTAGTGTTACTACAGGAGGAAACCTAAACTAAACTAACTTTATTTATACTGAGTAACTCTATCAGTTCAATATAAAGCAGGGCAGGAATGAATAATTTTTTTCGTAATAATATTTTTTGATGAAGTAACAACTAATTCAATTTTTTCTAGATATTAATATATGGCAGTCCTTTGGAAGTCCTTGGTATAAAGAAACAGCTCTCGGCCCATCTGAAGAACCTTAAGTCTAAAAAACACCAATGTGTCCCACTGGCTCCACAGGAGAGTGATCAAATAGAATTCCAGCTAGACTCCCAAGTCGCCCAGAAGCTCATGTGTATCCCAGATTTTGGCGACATTGTTAGTGGGCCTCTGTCGTACTCTAATGCCACGATTGTCGAGGGCGATGGTTTGAAGCGGGCCATTGCGGGAAAACCAGGTAATCAATATCTGCAGTAAATGGTCGATACATTTGTATCGTAATAGCTGAAACATACCATTGGGTGATTGCAGCTATAGACTAAATTTTGATCAAGGCAAGAAGAACGAAATCCAACACCACAGCTAGAAAGAGCGTCTTCGAATGAGTAGAACTGCAAAGATTGGTTGCTAAATGTTGTAAAATAAAGAAAATATAGCCCTGTGAAGTTCGCAAATTTTGTATGTATTTGTTTTACGCGCGGTAAAAATAACCACTTTCGGCTCAAAAATGGTATTTTCCCGCGCATAATGCAAATATATACAGAATTTGCGAAGTTCACAGGGCTATATTTTCCTCATTTTACAACAATTCGCAACCAAACTTTGCAATTTTACTCATTTTAACATGCTCTTTCCAGCTATGGTAATCGACCATTTGTCTCTCAAATCTAACATAACATAGCAAGCGAAATTATTCTTCTTTTTCACCAGCCACGTTTACCATCAAGAAGAATCCTTTCTATATTGATGATGGTGATGATGATGATTCGGGCAGTATTCTCAAAGTGAAAAGTAAAGACGCAGATAGCATTGAGGACGTTGATATCACTGAGGAGGAACATGGGACGTATAGGGTCACATATCTGCCACAGACGCCAGGTAATGTTCAGGTTTAAGATCAGGGGCCTGTTGTACGGAGTCTGGATAGCGCTAGTGAGTTATTCAAGCTGGGTTTTTTCTTGATTTTGTATAACCTGGATTAATTAAACTTTAGTATTTGTAAATTAAAGTTGCCTTTCAATAATTGTGAAGTTCATGTCCGCAGTTTCATAGTACTTTTCAAGCATTTTTACAGGTTGAAAAGATCGCTATACAACCGGCCCCCGGGCCGTTTCGTTCGTAGTGTTGTCTCTATTCACTGTTTTTTGCAAATACAGAAGCTACATTGATTTCTGACCCAGTCTTTGACTTTCAAGCCTGCCCGGTGTGGATATACACTCCGAGTAACATCACAAACATTACAAAAATTTGTTTACCATTTCATTCTTACAGGTACAGTGTGTCTGGCTGTGTTCCTAAAAGATGACCATATCAATGGCAGTCCTTTTGTAGTTTCTGTCCACAAAGAAATCAAGTATGATGGTGGGAGCAAGAAACATATCTTGGGACTGGATGCTGATGGTCCTGGTCAATTTACATGTCCATATGGTGTGGCCATCTCCCCCCTGACTGGAGATATCTGGATCACTGACAGTGGCAATGAGCAGGATCAAATACAGGTAAGTGATGGTGATGATGATGGTGTTGGTGATAATGGTAATTATGATGGTGATGGTGGTGGTGATGATAATGATGATGGTGATGATGATAATGGTGGTGATGATGATGATGATGATGCCATAATGGTGAATGATAATGGTGTTGTGATTATAATTATGATTGTGGTAATGATGGTGGTGATGGTGACGATGATGGTGATTATGATTATGATGATGGTGGTGGGTGGTGATTATGATGATGGTGGTGGGTGGTGATTATGATGATGGTGATTATGATTATGATGATCGTGATTATGATGATGGTGATTATGGTTATGATGATGATTATGATGATGGTGGTGGTTGGTGATTATGATGATGATGATGGTGGTAATGATGATGTTGGTGATGGATGTGGCCGTGGTGATAGCGATGTTGGTGATGGTACGTGATGGTAATAGTCATGTCTGGAGATAGATTTAACCAATATCATCGTACTCTTTGTAACAGGTTTTTGGCAAGAATAACCAGCTAAGGTTCAGATTTGGTAAGGTTGGTAATGAACATGGTGAGTTCAATGATCCAGCTGATATTACTTTTGTTGGTGATGACAGAGTGGCCGTAGTTGACAGAGGAAACCATCGAGTGCAGATTTTTAATGTTGAAGGTACGATATCATGAAAGATCCTGGGCAAACTACGTTCTAGATTCATTGAAATTTTGATGTTTCCTTCTATTTGTCTTTGAAACAATGTTCTCGAATGTGCTTAAAAAACCTGCCCATTTACAACTTGTGCGACTGTTTTAGCTGATATTCAATGTAAACATAATTCCATTCAACAGGTCATTTCTTGTCGACATTTGGTAGCAAGGGAAACGATAATGGTCAGCTATCATTCCCGACAGGCGTGGCGGCCAGCGACCATGCTATTATTGCAGTTTGCGACAATGGCAACAAGCGCGTGCAGCTATTCAAGGATGATGGTGCTCACCTCATGACCATAGACGACAGCAACCCTCACGGTATAAAATTCAGTTCTCCCTGGAATGCAACCGTCAACCATCAACACGAGTTGATCATTACAGATAGCATTAACCATTCTGTGCTGGTATTTGGTGGTGATGGTAAGCTGGTACGGAAGTTTGGTGGTCATGGTAACGGTGATGGTGAGTTTAATACGCCAACTGGTGTGACTGTTGATGGTCAAAATAACATCTTGGTTGTCGACAGAGATAACAACAGGGTACAAGTGTTCTCATCCAGTGGTGTGTATGTGGGGCAGATTAATACCCTGGGGGTTGAAGGTGCAGAGTTCTTTCACCCAGGGGGCATTTGTGCGAGTCCTTTTGGGTCAGTGGTCGTAGCCGACTGTCTGTACAAGTGTGTCGAGGTGTTCCAATTTTAGACCATGTTATTAGACCACGTATTTCGCTGCTTGATTCAGTGAAATCCTTCTATCAGTTGTTTTAGTAAGTGTTTACACGCCAGCAGACGGTGATCAACGTGATAATTATAGAAGCAAATTAAACTATATCTCTGAATTCAAGTGTCAAGTAATATTGTTATATCATGACTGTATCAGACTTGTTGGAACAACCTTGTAACAAGTCTGATGATATCAACAAGATTGTTACAAGTTGTTAACAGTTTGTTCCAGGACAAGCAGTGCGAAGACAACTTGTTGACGACTTGTTGGCAGACTTACTGCAAAATGTGAGATTTTTGCGTGTGTACTTACACCGTAATAAAAAGAATCATTTTGATAACTACCAGTTGACAACTATCTGCTCCACATTTATGCTTATTGAATCATTATAACTATATAGTACAGTATGTACTAGTCTGAATATGATATGGTGGTAAACAGGGAATGTATTCTTAGTGAAAGGTTTTTTTATATTAAATATACACATTGTAGCGGTATTCAGCTTTGAAAAAGGGTATATTACCGAAACCAGTAGAGTGTCTTTTCCGGAAGTTGAAAAGACAGTCAGAAGTCAGTAGAAACGTTCATGTTTTATGACGTCACGGTGAAGGAATGCAGCGTGGAACTTTAACTTGATTTAGTTTGCATTTCTTCGTCTTTATTTAGTTTGCATTTCGGTAATAATTAACATTGGAGACGCTCTGTAATAGGGGCGGACCATTAGAAATCCCCCGGGGGGGGGGGAGATACTGTCGCTCTACTGAGCTATAGACATGTTTAACCTAGCTATTTTTGTTGCATCTTCATTCGACCATTCCAACAGACAGTTATAGTATTTAAAATAGTTTTTAATGGAAAATTTCATACATAATTTTTCACTGCCCGCGCCGCAACCTTAACTGCTGTAGTAAAACATAATTTGAAGCTATTGGTAAATTAAATTACCATGCAGTGCTCCACATGCTAAGAATTACAGATCATATATTAATTGACAATAAAATTTAATTTCTCTCACTTCACAGAGTTGAAGTATACATAATACACCATGATTCAAAAACTAGGAATAAAGGAACCTATCTCGCTTTTCAGTTCGTGAAAGTACGCAACACCAAAAGCTCGGAACATTTTTAATACTCCTATTACATCGACGGCAGTGAATAGTCCATCCGACATTACCGTTACCACACTCCAAGGTAAAAACCCGTATGCATGTTCCAACAACCATGTATTTGCCTTCAAGCTTAGACATCCTGCCGACCCAGAGGGGTACGTAATATATTCACCGGGTTTGTATTCAGCAGCTTCTATATCGCCTTCTTTCCAGTATTTTAATGATCCTGTCTCTGATATAACTTGAAGTGTGCAATTTAGCCAGTGCCGACCTGGGACACAACAGAAAAATTCACATGTAAACATGTTAGTTTATTGTATCCTATTCCCCCGAATATAAAATAAGTGAATGCACCTTTTAAGTTATCTCAAGATGCTTAACCTTGTTAACTCATTGAGCCGCAGTGCGCCCTGCCTATTTTTTTTACTTGTCTAACGCCAGACGATTTTACTCGTTAATGACAATGGGGAAGCTGTGCAGCTTATTTCTGGATATCACAAAAACCTCATCGAATAACTGTTTATTATATGTAGTAGTCTTGAGACGTGTAGTGTGCATTTCTTACAAGTTGCCAACAAGCTGATGCCCTGGAATACTTACTGAAACCCACCAATACTAGATTCCCCTTATTATACAATTACTTTATGGTTTCCGTGTTTGGATGGCCTGATCCAAACACGCGGGAATGTTGCGAGGGTTAAGAAAAGCGAGCGAAATCACGAGCCGAAGGCGAGTGATTTTGCCCGCTTTTCTTAACTCGAGCAACATTCCCAAGTGTTTGGATCATTCCATCCAAACACGGAAACCATAAAGTAATTGTTTTATAAAATAACAACAACACGATAGTCTTCCATGTTTGGATGGCCTGATCCAAACACGGGTTTCGACCAATCAGAATACGCGTTATGTACATGTTATTTTATAATACGTTTTCGTAGCGCTTTGCATTGCGGTTATAGTGGTATCACTGATATTCAAGATGGCTTATTTTTTTTCCTGACCCGTACAAAAACTTTTGAAAAAAGCTAGGGTCAGGTGCGTGATAGCCAACAGCAAAATACTCGCGAAAACATTCAATATTTTCATTCCAGGCCACTATCTTTATCAGTGATACCACTATAACCACAATGCAAAGCGCTACGTAAACGTAATAATAATTCATCAATTGAATACGAGAATGCAATAAAGCATCTTGAGAATGGCAATAGGCATGTGTACCAACCTAAATAGCCATCTGTGTCCAATGCAGATCCAGAAAATAGTACATATTCTGTCAGGGATGCATGTAGAAAGGTGAGGCTTAAGGTCATTCCTGAAAATTTGTGCATCACCCATTCACGGTCTTTGCTTGGTAAGATGTGGCCGGGGTAAAGTTCTTCCAGTTCACTGCTTATTTTGTGAAATACTTGCTCTATGTCTTTACCTGAATTGGAATAAGAATAGTGATGATGGTGATGTTGGTGGTGGTGGTGATGACAGTGATGGTGATGACAGTGATGGTGGTGGTGGTGATGATAGTGATGGTGATGATATTGTCATGACAGTGATGGTGGTGGTGGTGAAGATGATGTTGGTTGGTGGTGATGACAGTGCTGGTGATGACAGTGATGTTGGTTGCAGGAGACTTTGTTCCCTTGTTAATGTTTTTAGCTAATAAAAATAGCAAAATTTCGTCAAATTACCCTGCTGCAAGTCGAACGCGCTTTTCGCGTGATGAATTTCACGCGCCATAATGAAACAGGCTACCGCAGTTCAAAGGTCAGCTGTCGCAAAGTACAATATTAATTATTATTATTATATAAAGAGCCAATTATTACATCAAAACTGAATAGTTTACCGACTTCTTTGCACTGTATTCTCTAAAATAATTCTGTCGCTCATATATATTAGATTTTGATTTGAAGCAAACGCCCGAATTCACTAAAATACTCACACGAGGCGCGCAAATTCTAATAGACGCATTACTGACAGATCGCGCGTGCAACATGTACGCAAGATATCCAAGCGTGGGCAGACCCAGGCATTAATATGCCTGAGTATTCATTAGAATAATGTGGTTGAAACTGAAGGCAGAATTGCGATTATATAGTTGCATGGAAGAAATTACCTGCATGTTTTTTCCCAATGTTGACAAGGGTTTCTTGGCTAAACGTAGGTGATCTCATCTTCAAATAAATGTGAATAAAAGCTATAAACAATATGATAAGCAAGCAATTTTTCAAGAAGCGCATTGACATTTTCTTTCAAAATTTTCCAAGACTTCTGGACAATTTCAGCTCTTTTCTTCCCAATGTGATAAGCACAGATCAATGGTACCAGTCCGTACCAGAGTCTGGGCCTATGGTCTGGTGCTTATAAAAAATAGGTACGCTAAGCGTACATGTATCTGCGACACTGTCGTCTCGTACCCAGTAGGCTCGATTACCAGCCGGCATTCCGAGAACGGCTGGTAATCGAGCCGGCTACGTACCCAGGCCAAGCAGTTTGCGACAGATATAATCATAAAGGCGCGTTTACACGTGCAATTTTTGCTGCGATTTCTTCTTCTGATGGATGTGAACGAGTGGATGGGTTAGGAATGTTCAGACGAGAGTACATATCATAGTAGATATGTTAGCCTGCTTGAGAGCCTGTTCGCAGGCTATAGATATGTCAGAACATTCATAACTCATCTGCTCGTTCACATCCATCAGAAGAACAAATCTCGCTAGAAATCGCAAGAAAAGAAAGAAAAGAAAATAAAAATAAAAAAATAATAATAAAAAAAATAATAATAAATTTTTGATTGAAAATTACGATTTTCAGTTTTTCAATCTTCAACTGAAATCGGTTAGCTTAACCCCAGGTTAACCTAAAATTCAAAGCAAACTTCCTAACAGCTTTGCTTATAAACTTGGAAATATTTCTTTAGAAATCTTGTCTGGATCAATGTCAATGAGAGTTTCCTTCTCTGAAGTTTTGAAACAAATAGACGTGCAAAAATACATAAACTAAAGCAGCAGGTTAAATTCTAATGCAGGGTTTAGCGCTAGTCCACCTTTGAGACGCTCGGTAATAGGGACAGACCATTAGAAATCCCAGGAAGGGGAGGGGGCTAAAAATTCTTGGACTTCAGTGCTCTTAAATATTTATCATTATTGGCGATTCACCATCCAGATTGTTGAACGCTGCACTGTCACTGATGAGCTGTAGTGCGAAGATATTCCGCTGCCGGACATTTTTCAGCGCTGAGTTATAGATACAGCCAATGTAAAAAAAGGTTGTCCATTGAAAACTTTAACTCTAAAACCTTAAACCTTAAACTCTAAGCGCGCAAAGCTTAATGGGAGCACAAGTTTCAAACCTTAGTAATTGAATATTGCAGCTATTTGTGAATGAATTATTCTCGTAAGGAGATATTTACCATGTCTCTAAGAAATGGCCTGCATATATGATTTCTAAACTGGTTAACAACTTTTTTGAATTTATAACTGTATGTTTACATGTAACTTATTTTTGTTACATCTTCACACACAACGTACATTTTCGTAAACATGCAAGACCTTTTCATCAGACAATTATAGTATTAAAATAGTTTTTAATGGAAAATTTCATACATAATTTGTCACTGCCCGCGCCTCGACCTTAACTGCAGTAGTAAAACATAATTTGAAGCTATTGGTAAATTAAACTACCATGCAGTGCTCAACATACTAAGAATTACAGATCATATATTAATTAACAATAAAATTTAATTTCTCTCACTTCACAGAGTTGAAGCACACATAATACACCATGATTCAAAAACTAGGAATAAAGGAACCTATCTCGCTTTTCAGTTCGTAATAGTACGCAACACCAAAAGCTCGGAACATTTTTAATACTCCTATTACATCAACGGCAGTGAATAGTCCATCTGACATTATCGTTACCACACTCCAAGGTATAAACCCGTGTCCATGTTCTAAGAACCATGTATTTGCCTTCACAAGCTTAGGCATCCTGCGGAGCCAGGGGGGTACTTAATATATTCGCCAGGTTTGTATTCAGTAGCTTCTATATCGCCTTCTTTCCAGTATTTTAATGATCCTGTCTCTGATATAACTTGAAGTGTGCAATTTAGCCAGTGCCGACCTGAGACACAACAGAAAAATTCACATGTAAACATGTTAGTTTATTCACTGTTAATAGAGGTTTATTGTATCCTATTCCCCACACATAAGTGCCGCATTAGAATAAATAGGTACATGCGCCTTTTAAGCAGGGCCCGTGGCATATTATAACACTTTTAACAAGTTCGTTAACCGCGTACACCTGCAGGGACCGATTAGCTAATGGCTTGCAACATGTACGCAGTCAACCTCGTACCCAGGCTCTTTCCACTACGCGCAGCGAGGCGCGTAGTGGAAAGAGCCTGGGTACGAGGTTGGTACGCAGTACCAACCAGAGGCATTTAACCCACCTAACCCCTCGCCCTGTTGGGAGGGGGGGGGGGGCAACGAAGGGGCAGATAACATTACCGAGGTCTGAAAAATTCTGGATATCCTGCGTAAGCCAAATCCAATAATTTAATTGTTTTATTATTCATTCTGTAACAGTAACAAATAAAACGAACGAAAATTAAAAACAAATGAAAATTCATTAACTTTTCATAAAATTTCCCGCCAATTTGTAATTTCACACATAACAAAGCACCGCTGAAATATCTCGGGCTCCGTTCAATAACTCCTACAGATAACTGTTTCTGCTAAAAATAGCACGGGCACCTACAAATACCTAAAATTATTTGTAGGCTTTTAGCCATTTGTAGTTTGAAAAAAACGAGAACACAGTACACAATGAATAATAACTATTATATGTAGTAGTTTCGAGAGGTGTAGTTGCAAACAAGCTGATGCCCTGCATAACGCTTACTGAAACCCACCACTTGAATATGAGAATGCAATAAAGCATTTTGAGAATGGCATGTGTACCAACCTAAGTAGCCATCTGTGTCCAATGGAGACCCAGCAAATATTACATATTCTGTTAGGGATGCATGTAGAAAAATGAGGCTTAAGGTCATTCCTGAAAATTTGTGCATCACCTATTCCCGGTCTTTGCTTGGTAAGATGTGGCCGGGGTAAAGTTCTTCCAGTTCACTGCTTATTTTGTGAAATACTTTCTGTATGTCTTTACCTGAATTGGAATAAGAATAGTGATGATGGTGATGTTGGTGGTGATGACAGTGATGTTGGTGATGATGATTGTGATGACAGTGATGATGATGACAGCGATGGTGATGACAGTGGTGGTAGTGATGGTGGTGATCGATGGAAGTGTTGGTGATGACGTCGATGGTGATAATCGTGCTGACGGTGATGGTGGTCTAGTGGTGATGTCGATAATGGTGGTCTAGATGTGATGGTGCTAATGATGATACAGTGGACAGGCCGAAAAAAATTGGCTGTACCACGAGGTGGCCGGGGTATCTTTTTAAGAAAGTGTACTATAAAGTGGCCGTAATAAACAGGTGACCGTATCAACGGGGTGGCCAAAAGGTGGTGTTCCACTGTGATGACCCATTGATTGCATTCTATCACTAAACATAATCACAACATTACGCCATTTGCAATAATTCTATTATGCAGTAATTCATAATTGTTACACCTGAACGAATTACTATTTTACCAGTATTATTTTTTATTACATTAACTATTTATTAACAAAAATCCGAAAATAAAGCATTCACCAAAAGTGGGCCAAGGGCCTTCTTCCAGAAACCATAAGGCTTTTTATTCAATACTTCTTGATTATCAGTTCACATTAATAATTCATTCGAATAATGTGATGAGAAGAAAGGTAGAATTGCGATTATAATATAATCGCATGGCCATGGAAGATTACCTGCATGTTTTTTCCCAATTTTGACAAGTGTTTCCTTGCTAAACGTAGGTGATTTCATCTTCAAATAAAAGTGAATAAGAGCTATGAACAATATGATAAGCAAGCAATTTTTCAAGAAACGCATTGACATTTTCTTTCTTTCAAAGGATAATTTCAGCTGTTTGCTTTCCAATGTGATAACCACAGACCCATTACATGTAATATGCAATAGTACCAGTCCGTACCAGAGTCTCTGGTACGGGCGGTACTATTGATCTATTGGATTATGATTTATGACCGGAAGCTTTCCGTAGCGACGTGAAAAAACACCTCGGTAATATATCCGTACCTTTTAAGAACGCTATTTTCAGAGGAATTGTTGCAACGGAGAGATCTTGTTTCACTCAGCTTCTGAAAGTTGTACATTCCGTATCGGATAGGTGCTTTTTCGCGCCGCTACGGAAAGTCGGAAACCTATCTGGTGTAGTATAAACGTACCAGGGACAGAGTGCTTATCACATGAGAAGTAAAGAGCTGAAATTGTCCAGAAATCTTCGAAAATTTAAGTGTTGCATTTTTCGCAAGCGTTCCTGGTTTAATAGGTCTTAAAATTGTGTGTGTATATTGTATGTTCATTTGGATTTGCCCTAAGACAGCTGAATAATGCATCTATTGTTGAAAAGTGAAACCGAATGCGAAGCGGATAAACTCGAAGCTCGATTTAGCTCGAAGACAAAACAATGTGTATTTCAGACGAAAGAGATTGGGTTTGGAATAGCCTCGCTCACAATCACCGCCTACTAAAGGTGAAAGAAACTGTGAAACTCAATAAACTCACTGAAGAGCTACAGACATGTTTAACATAGCTATTGATTTCCCCCTCGGATTTTCTGTTACATCTTCACACACAACATTATCAAACATTTATAATATTAAAATAGTTTTTAATGGCAACTTTCATTCATGATCGGCAGTTTTAGATAATTGTTCACTGCTATACGCAGACATGAAGTGTTTGAAGCTATTGGTAAATTAAAGTACAATGCAGTTCAAGTTCAAAAACTAGAAATAAAGGAACCTATCTCGCTTTTCAATTCATAATAGTACACAACACCAAAAGCTCGCAACATTTTAAATATTCCTATCACATCAACAGAAGTGAATAGTCCATCTGACATTATCGTTGCCACACTCAGAGGTACGAGTCCGTCTCCATGTTCCAACATCCATGTATTTGCCTTCCAGCCTAGGAAGCCTGTGGTCCCAGCGTGGAATTTAATATATTCACCAGGTTTATATTCAGAGGGTCTAGATGGGGTTTAATGTTAAGTGTTGACGGCCCATATTCTATAGTGTTTAATGTTGAAACGCTAAATATTTTGTTGTTTACTGTCATGGAAGACTTCGCAGTTAAGTGTTGTAATTACTATAAAAAGTCTAATGCATTTCAAAAAGGGCTTTAAACTACTAAATTTCAGACAAAAGAATACGAAACTATATTAAAAGCGATGTCAGAGTGTGTTTACAGGTCTTACCAGTGGCGTGCTGGCAGGGGGGGCCGGGGGGCCACGGCCCCCCCAGTTGGCAATTCTTGCAGGGCGCAAAAATGAAAAGGGGGCGCCGATCCCGCGCCGAGATTTGAAAGTGGGTGGGAAAAAACGCATTCGAAAAAATATATTTACTTCCGCCGAGAAAAGATGTGTTTATATAGGCTTATAAAACAGACTAAGTGCATAGGTAACAAAGTGATATATTAAATTATACAGACTATTTTGTCTAACCGTATTTGCTAATTTGCTACCTCACGACTCACACGAAATCGTTCATATAGAAACATGAACTGTGATCACACGCAATGTCTCATCACCGGAATATTGGTCAGGTTTCGAAGTGATCACGGGAATTATGCCTTTTTTTGCTGGTGTTATGCCCTTTATTATGCTTCACGAATCACAAGAGCGGCGCAAATTAGATAGTTTAAGTTATGATAATGTAAAGTTGTGTACGCAATTTAGTTGCATGTTTGCGCTAGAAACATCATGAGTAATGTATTGTGAGTAATGCTGAAACGCGCCCTTTTGGCACCAGGCAGCCGGAAACCTTAAAATGCATATGCGTGGGGTCCATGTGTTATTGTATAAAAGAACCGTATGTTGTAATTGTATTCAGATCACTAGATCAGTAGAGAATAGAATTGAGATTAGATTAATCGCTGGAAGTTGTTAGCATTGCATAATATAAGTACTACTACTACTAAATTCAAACTAAATTGCAAATTTCGATACGTTATAATGCCGTTTCCTGACCATCAGATTTCTGTCAAATCTTCCCCCAAAGTCCACGAAATGGCATTTCAGAGACTCTAAATTCAAAAATTTTCCTGGGGGGCATGCCCCCGGACCCCCCTAGACAAACCTCGCACCTGCGGCGTTCGGCTCGTGTCTTCGGCCCTCGTTTATCAAGCGAAATATTATAGGGGCGCATATTTGTTGACAGCCCACTGGCCCCCCCAGAAAAATAGTACCCAGCATGCCACTGGGTCTTACAGATCTTTATAGCTTTTACATCACTTGTCACCTTGCCCAGCACCTGCATCTTTGCCTTCATGCAGGCCAGCACATGCGCATATGGGCCTGGTGTGCCAATTACAAAATATGCAAAATATGTCTTTGATGGTCTTAGAGACTGTGCATTTGCTTCCTACATATAATTAAGTGCTTTTTTACGTCTTCATGAAATTAGCAAAATTTTACTATTATGTGAAATTTTTTACTGTTACTGTTAAATTACTAAAAAATCAAATGTTTACTGTTTTGGGCACCACCCCATCTAGACCCTCTATTCAATAGCTTCTAGATCGCCATCTTTCCAATATTTTAATGACCCTGACAGAACCAGCATTGTGGAATTTACCCAGTGCCGACCTGTCAGACACAACAGAAAAATTCACATGTAAACACGTTAGTAACTCGCATGCATGTTAGTTTATTGTTCCCTATTCCCCCGCATATAAATTGTTTGGCAATATATATTTAACAATTATTCACCAAAGTGGAGTTAAATTTCCATTATAATCGTTTTTGAAGGTTTACCATGAATACTATCAATGTAAAAACTGAGCTCGTACCATTATTGGTTATTATAGAATCCCATATGGTAAATTTTAAAAACCATGTTTAATATTTACCATTACACTATAATGGTATTTTCCTGGTAAATATTAAACAACATGTTTTTTACCAATTTATCATATGGGAAATCTATAATAACCAATAATTAGTAAGAATTTAGTTTTTACATTCAAAAATCACAATGGAAATTTAATATTTTTCCAGTACAATCTGCTGCCCTGCAACACATATTCAATTCCTGTCTTCTTGTAACGATAAACAGCCTTACGGCTAGTCTGCGTGGGAAATGACGTCTGGGTTCGAAGACTACCCTAGCTATGGCAGGCTGAACAAAGTATACCCGGCTCGTCGTGCGATACACCGAAGCAAGCTTCGAGGTCATGGACGTTGTGAAAGTTTTTTTTCATGTTGTTTTCCAATTTTTTGTCTAAATGTTTGTGGCAAACTATACACTTAGGACATTTTTCAGTTGGAGCTGAAGAAACTAAGTGAATTATATGAGAATGCAATATAAAGCATCTTGAGAATAGCATGTGTACCTAAGTAGCCATCTGTGTCCAGTGCAGATCCAGCAAATATTATATACTCTGACAGGGATGCATGTAGTAAGGTGAGGGATAAGGTCATTCCTGAATACTTGACCATCACCCATTCACGGTCTTTGCTTGGTAAGATGTTGCCAGGGTAATGTTCTTCCAGTTCACTGCTTATGTTCTGAAATGCTTGCTGTATCTCTTTTCCTGAATTGGAATAAGAATAGTGATGATGGTGATGTTGGTGGTGATGGTGATGACAGTGATGACAGCGATGGTGGTGATGATGGTGATGTTTGTGGTGATGGTGATGACAGTGATGGTGATGACAGTGATGGTGATGACAGTGATGGTGGTGATGGTGATGACAACGATGGTGGTGATGATGGTGATGGTGATGACAGTGATGTTGGTGATGTTGGTGGTGATGACAGTGATGGTGATGACAGTGATGGTGATGACAGTGATGGTGGTGATGACAGCGATGGTGGTGATGATGGTGATGACAGTGATGGTGGTGATGTTGGTGGTGATGACAGTGATGGTGATGACAGTGATGGTGATGACAGTGATGGTGGTGATGATGGTGATGTTGGTGGTGATGGTGATGACAGCAATGGTGGTGATGATGGTGATGGTGATGGTGATGACAGTGATGGTGATGACAGTGATGGTGATGACGGTGATGATGGTGATGTTGGTGGTGATGGTG